TAGGTCCTTTCGTTTTTTTTTTCTTTTTTTCCTTTTTGGTCTCTATGACATGTGGAAACTTTTCTTTGTGTTCAAAAGATTCTTGTTGGCTCATGTGAAAAGATTCGGGACTAAAAATCCATCAGAAGCTCTGAGCCCACAGGTGGGACTTGCTGACTACAGACTTTGCTGAAAGCTGACTTGAGAGATGTCAGTGTCAGAATCGAGTCCTGTAGAATCCGGCCTTTTTCTTGGAGGGTGAAGGTCCAGCTTTGGGGACAAAAGCCCAGGAATCTCAATGTTCAGTGTGCGTGGTGTCACATACGGCTTCCATATTCAGCACAGTGACCCAAACCCCAGCTCACAGTCCCCCCTCCAGACAAGGAGCTCTGGCCGTCACCCTGCTGCAGGGAAAGGGAAGAACATTTGCGTCTGGCTGTTTCATAAACACACTTTTCACTCATCCTCCTTAGTGTGGACCTCACTGGCTGCCGCCTCCAGTGGTGCCCCCGGTTCCTGGGACGGGGGATTCCGTGGTATAAACTCTGCTGGCTCTTAGTCTTTCTCGCTGATGGTGCACGACTAAGTTTAGAAGTTCAGCTCACTGTTTTACCCATTTGTACCCCCACTTCCCAGTTCCCCAGATCACTGACGTTTGCCGCACCTCTCCACCGTCCCCACGATGTCCCCATCGGCCTGGGTCTATACCTTTAAAAATAGTCCCCTCAAGTCTCCTTTAAGTGGGATTTGGGAAGAAAGGATAAGTTGGTATTTATGTTCAATCCGTTTAGCAGTTTACTGTTGAGAAAACTGAGGTTCAGGGAGGCTGAGCCGTGGCCGAAAAACAGATCTAAAAGGAACGCTTTGCCTTTTTTTTTTTAAGTCCTTGGTTTAGTGCACTTGGCTGAGTTTGTTCCCAGAGGAGACTCGGGAAGTCACATTAAGCAGGTCGGAGACCTCCCTGGAGCAGCACAACAATGACTAACATTTATTAAGTGCTTGTTGTACACCCAACACTGTTCTGACCTCTTTGTACGTATTAATACAGTTCATCCTCACAGCCTGTGATTGGGGGTTACTGTTCCATATCCATTTACAGAGGAGGAAATGGGGCACAGAGAGGTTATAATTTGCCCAAAGTCACACAGCCACAGAGTGGAGAAACCAGTGTGCACCAGGGTTTCTGAACCTGGGCACTTCGGCCTGGATAAGACTGGATGTGGGGGCGGTTCTGTGCACCGGGGGGCTGTCTAGCTGCATCCCTGGCCTCTCCCCACCGGATGCCAGCACTCCGCCCACCCATGAGACAACCAGAAATGTGTCCGGCATCCCTACGTGGTCCCTGCAGGGCAGAGTCGGCCCTGGCGGAGAATGGCCGGCCTGGGCAGCCTGACTTTTCTCCTTCCCCACGGCTGCGCTGCTTCTTCGTTTGGGGACCACCCAGGGACCCCTTCCCTTCATCCTGGGACCTGAAGAGCAAGTTCCACGGTTCCTGGGTCTGTGGGTAGATCCCCTCCCACCCCCCGCGTGACCACCCTCCGGTGCACTCTGCGCCAGCGGCTATGAAAAGGGCAGGCAAACAACAGAGAAACCAGCGCGCACGTGCGCGCGCGGAAAGGCCGAGTCGCTAACCCCCTGGCTCTTTCTTGCCGCCTTCTTCCCCGCAGAGCCAAGGTCAAGAAGGGGGTGAACATCCTGAGCACGCGGACCAGCGAGCCCCGGCAGTGGGACGTCAGGCAGGAGCTGGGGAACGGCGGCAAGCAGGCCACCGCGGCCGTGGTGTGCCAGCGCCTGGCGCCCGCGCGCAACAGGTAAGCGGCGCCGCGTCCCGGTGCGCGGGCGTCCCGGGGCCCCGATGACCCAGCCCCCGCCCAAGCGCCCTGCCTTAGACCCACCGTAACTGCTGCTCGGCGGAGCTACCGCGCCTGGCCGGGAAGTTTGGCGGCTTAGCATCACCTGTCGTACCGTCTGGCATCTCCGGCGCGGAGGGCGGGGCCCCGAGCGAGCGGGAAGGTCGGTGGGTCGGGTGTGGGCGCAGAGGCCGGTTCGGACGGTCTGCTCTGCTTGGCGGAGGCGCACTCATCCTCCTCACCCGCACTCCCGTCCTGGGGCTGTGTCATCCCCGCCGCGGGCCCTGGGTCACCAGAGGCTGCTTTCTTTCAGCGTGTCCGTCCTTTGTACAAAGGGTGTGATACCGTGACGTATAGAAAGAAATCTGTATGTGGTCTTCATCCCTGTTTCTGGCACAGAGCGCCCAAAACCCTTGGAATGTCCTGTGATGAGCGCATAAAGGTGATTTTTTTTTTATGGTAAGAAGGTGACTGTTGGAAAGCCGCCTGGCTCACCTTAAGATGGGAGCTGGTTGCCAGGGGAACCCACCCTGTGATTGGAGCGTTGGAACTTTAAGTCCCACCCCCTGCCTTGGAGGAGAAAGAGACTTGAGACTGAGTCCTGCGCCCAATGGCCAAATGATTTCATCAGTCGTGCCTATGTAATGAAGCATGGA